CATCTGTAAATCATACAAACGTTTTCAATAAGCGATATGATATCAACGAAATACGTACAAAAATTGATGTCTTATAATGAAGAGTTGGTTCTTGTTTAAACGTTGTGAAATTATTGGCAAATTTATAAAAATTAGCTTTTCGATTACCAGAAGGAGAGATTCTTCAGTGTTGAGCAATGGCATGGCAAGACAAAGGGGAGTAGTTTTTATTTACGTCAGTTACTATCACTGATATCTTACTCACTTTATTTTTAGAGAATTCCTCAATACTCCAATTATTACTGACATGGCGATTAAACAAGAACCAACTCTTCATTATAAGACATCAATTTTTGTACGTATTTCGTTGATATCATATCGCTTACTGAAAAAGTTTGTGTGAGTATCACCAAATTTTTCAGCATGATCTCACATTTTTATTTCTCAACAAAGTATAATGTAGAACACAAACATATTCATTGAAATATTAACTAAATGAACAATATTCACAGTTTTATTTATATCTGTTTTCAGAGGACGGGAACGTATAAGGTTAGAAATCGGTTCACTCTTTTTTGCGAGTAAAAATGGCTTCCTATCTACGCAATTCAATAACAGATGAAAACAGATACATTTGTTCACTAATAGCCCCTTAATTTTTCCACAATACCGTTCCCAACGACGACTTCAAAACAAGCAAGCATCTACAAAATCAGTAAACGATACTCCTATCATACTTCTTCCACTCAAAGAGACTAACAAAACATATGAATCGCTAACCCTTGAAATTCTCCACAAACTGAGCTAGTCAGAATACCTTGACTACTTGGGCCAGTCATCGCATATATGCAAAAGAAACGTTCGAGTACCGAAAACCTCAATGGAACCCTCTTCCAGTCATATTTTCTCTCAAAACGAAAAATATGCACTTCTCTGTAGTATACTATTCGATAGCCCTTGAAATTCTCTACAAACTGAGCTGGTCAGAATGTCTCCATTGGTCGGACTAGTTACCAAAGACATATACAAGGACCGTTCGAGTACGAAAAACACGTGCAGCAAACTACTTTAGTCGTTTTCCTGTCCTAATGAAAACTTATGTACTTTTTAAAAATATACCGTTAGATAGTCCTTGAAATTCTCCACAAACTGAGCTAGTCAGAATATCTAGACTTGTGGGGTCAGTCATTAAAGATATGCAAAACAAGCGTTTAGGTATTATTTATGCAGTGAAGCGTGTCCTAATCATAAGAACTCGTTTCTTTTTGATTTTTTAGTAAAAGCTGGAGCAATTCAGAACACTGGTTTGCATAGTTGGAAGATTTTTCTATCAGATGAGATCCATATCGCCTTTTGGTGAGGAAACTTGATAATAGGGTTTCTGGAAAACCTGACCACTAGAAAACCAAGTCATTGGTTTTTGGCCAGAACACTTTTCAAACCATATAGCGTGATAGAGGAAAGAATTCTGAGCTAAATAATATATCTTCTGGCTGTAGTTAACGTCCTTTCGCCAAACTGCTGTCGACTTACGAATGGCTACAAAGGGCGTGAAAATTACCATAATATACGCGTGAAAAGGTGCTACAGACGGCCGGGAAATTCAAAAAGAAAGGAGTTCTTATGATTAGGACACGCTTTACTGCATAAATAATACCCAAACGCTTGTTTTGCACATCTTTAATGACTGACCTCATAAGTCTAGATATTCTGACTAGCTCAGTTTGTGGAGAATTTCACGGCTATCGATTCATGTGTTTTGTTTCTGATGTGGCAACAATCCTGTTGGCTTGTTGTACCATTAGAATGATGTAGATGTCCCATTGGCATGAAAGTGTATTCGTATAGACATTCTGTTGGATTAGCAATTTTATTTAACTGCTATCAAGTTAGCGATAAAACAAGTATTTAACCATTAGGCAAACGAAAAGCAAAAGAGCCTCCCAAGAAAGTTAGCACAGCTTTAAATTTGTAAATAGATATAACTAAAACTGTGAAAATATTGTTCATTTGGTTAATATTTCAATGAATATGTTTGTGTTCTACATTATACTTTGTTGAGAAATAAAAATGTGAGATCATGCTGAAAATTTTGGTAATCAAAAGTATCTTTATTTGGTGATCATTTGTATCTAAAAAACGTTCGGTGATCAAATGTATCTTTAAATTAGTGTGTGAGTCATTATAATCATAATCTGCGGCCATATCACTGTATGAACTGACTACAAAACACTTACAATTTGTTCCGATCTTATAACTAACATTACTTCTGACGAGAATGTTTGGAATGCTGAAATCGAAGAAGCTGAAGTGATTTAGCACGAAAAATCTGTTTAAATTGATATGGGCTTTCAGATGATCTTTTTGTTGTGTGAATATAATGTGAAACGAAAATAACGTATAGATTTATATAAAGATGTTTGAAAATGAAAAATTAGAATTAATTAAGATATCGTATAAAGTGTTATGATGATATCCACAGTGCGATTCATTTCCATTATTATTCAAGCGTGTATTATCTCTCGGTGATGCGACTGTGTAAACAAAGCAGATTTTACCAATTATTTGAATAATGCATTTGGAAATTCTTAAGATGACATTCGACGCACTTGGGTGTTAATTGCATTGATGGATGATTATCGTGGCTATTCATCTGATTATTTGTCTTAAAGTTGACTTAAATGAAAAAGTTCCAGGTTCGAAGTCATAATTAAATGGCGCATATTTACAAATTGAATACTACTTTTGGTTCAATTCAAATTAAATTGTATCATTTCTAAAAAAATGTCAGAATCAGGTGATATTGGTTATAATCGGCAGGAATTAGTTTGTTTTGTTGCCAAACACGGCTTTGGACGAGTGATAATGGCCGCTTTGTTAATTATAAGTTATGTTTGGAGTTGTTGTGAAACAAATCGATGTAATCAAATCCCCTATTTTGCTTATGCCGGTATTAGTTTATTAGCACTTGAATGGTATGTTGTAATACTCAAGGTCGTGGTACAACGTCAACTCATTGAATATTATTGGTATATGAATAAACAGAAATAATAATTATCATATTTTCTCAATTTTGTCAGATTTCCTCCTTGTTTCAGGATCAATCCAGGTCTAGTCATATTTATTATGTTTCTAATGCCACCATTATGGTTTCTCCGTTTAAAAATGTTTCACGGTAAGTTCTATATTTCCTTGCTTCATGAGTTCTAAGACGAGCGAGTATTCTTATTAAATGAGGATGAGTGTTTGAGAATTCTTTGTGTATGTTTGTTTCGATAGTGTTTGTTGAGGGATATCATAAAAGTTTGATATATCGATGTATTGTCTTAGTGGTACAGGTCGTAATGTTGAGAAACACATGATAAACGTGTTATAATTTTGTCTATTACTGCTTTTTTAGGAGCTTCGGAGTCCGGACACAACGTTGTCACTGCTCGTCAAGTGAGCACAAATCTTGAAACCTATATAGGTGAATGTTGGTCAATTGAATCAAAAAGATATTGGGATAAACTGACTATCAATGTTACACAAGCGAAGGTGGCGAAGAACCTTTACGATGAAAAAGTGAACTGTACGGAATATTTTGAAACAAGAACTTTCCACAATGACATGTGTCAATGGGTATGTATGAAAATCCTAAACACAGTAGGAATTGAATACAAAAAGTGTCATTAGCGATCAATAATGAAATTTCCTCTATTCTATTTTTGCTTTTCTTCAGCTTGATTGTGTATTTGACGATAGACGAATATCACCCGAGTTTCTTGAGCAAGCACTTGTCTTAGCTGTTATTCTTCTTCGATGGTTGTTAACAGTACATTTGGGTCTCGATCAATTATTGACGTATTTTGTTTCCACAGCTAGTGATATCGTTGATTTTGCTAATACAATGGTTGCATTAAGTAACAGATTGATAGAAGATGATAGTTTTGATTCATTAAATGCGATTATCGGTAGGTAGACATTTCTAGATTAACAGCGGATGAATACTCTGTTGATGCTTATATTTTATAGGTGCATACTTTATTAGTTTATCACAGTTTACGGTAAATTTATCCGGTAAACGAAAACATGATCATGTACACGATCTCATTCTGTGGAAGCGAGCCTCAAGCAAACAACGAATGTCAATATTAGCCGATTATCTTTTTGGTACAGAAATTTGGGGCATTATTGCACAAATGACTACCGAAGATGGTCTTCTCTTGGTTCTGAGAATATATGCAGTGGTGAAATTTGATGCTGGAACATTGGATAATTTATTTTTTGTTGTTAAAAATATTTTAACATTGGCCATTTTCACGTATTATGCCGCCGCAATTACTGATTCATATGTGAGACATCGCCATAGACGTCAACGAGCAGTATTCGCTGTCATGAGAAGAGGAAAAGATCGAGACGTCGTACCACAAGGAGTACTGCCAGATATGGAACGAAAATTGTTTTCAAGAAATAAACGATAGATACAATGAATGATGTTAAATGATCACAACGATGAAATTCAACAAAGAGGATAACTAAAAATCACGAAAGCCGTCAGAAGTATTTCATATTAATCTAACAGTTTGTTAACGGTCCGTCATTTTTCAACCAAAGTTATTAAATGAAGTCTTAAATTAAAGTCACTAGGATTTCTTCAAACAGAATCATTAATTATTTCCTGAAACTTCAACGTACTTTTATAGTACACGAGGGAGGATAATAAATTTATGTGCAAGAAGAATGTATCAGCTTCCCCTGTTCCCGACACGTACATGATCCTCACTCATTCTTGAATGAGGGACAAAAAGTGTGAAAGTACACTCTCGGTACGGTCTGTCATATTATTCTTTTTTTACCGTTGTTATTTTTAATAAAATCTTTTAAACATCATTCTCTAACTTCGATCACAAGTTCAAGCAAGCAAACCAATGAGTTAAGGTTTCTCAATCCTCTAGCCTCATACATACTCTCTCACGGGCTATGAAAAACAAATAACCACAAAGAAAGTATTCATTGACTAAACTTCTCCTCTCCTAACACCAGTTGAATCGAGAACGTTGATAATATAGCTTTTATAGGTTGTCAAAAAGAGTCAGAGTTTAGAACGAGAAACCAGTTTCTATTACCTTTTACCCACGCAGTGAGGTTCATTTTGTACTCTAAAACCTGATCTACTAGCGGTCTAAAAAACGACTGGGTAAGTCCGTTTACTGTACTGTTTTTCACTCCAATTTTTCGGTACACAGTCACAAATGTGACAATAAAAACTTCAGAAACGTAAAATTCTTTTCACAAAATCAATGGCTTTATATTATGCGACTCGGTAAAACAAAAAAGACAAATGTCTTTGGTGAAGGTGATTTTATTAGAACTTGTGGGAAACGGGA